ATGGAGACCGGGCTCCCAATTCCCAATAAATCACACTGCCGCTGGGGATCTGAGCCGACTGCCCAGCATCCCTGTAGCTCACCCTGCCACTGGGGAGGGAGGACGCTGCTCTCCTCTCCCTGCAAGGAACACTGCCGCTGGGGTACAGGACCACTTGTCTCTGCCGCTGGGGAATGGAGCTCGGGCTCCCAATTCCCTGCAATTCACACTGCTGCTGGGGGACAGAAGCAACTATCTCTGTCCCCTGTAACTCAGCCTACCGCTGGGAAATGGAGCTCGGGCTCCCAATTCCCTGCAATATCGGTGGAGAGACCTCGGTCCCGTCTCCACCCGCCACCTGGGGTTCTTCCCAGTAAATATCAACAATGTCTTCCCAGCTGAATGGGTCTGGAACTGGATCTGTCACCTTGCTGTCCTGCTGAATCTTCTCAGTGGAGTGGAAGAGATCTCGGTAGTCCTGCTCCAGTTCCCACTCCAGGGTTGCTAGGTGAGCCAGGTCTTGCTCAATTTCGTGAGTGTTGTCCTAGTCATACCTGCTCTCCCTCCACTCCAAGAGATCACTGAACCGGGCTTGTGTAGGGCTCCCAAACTCAGGCTCTGCAAAAGCCTCCCATATCAAGCCAGGACCATCAAACTCCTCTCCCTCTGGCTTGTCATGCTCGGCTGTCCAGGGCAGGTACTGTGCCCCATACCACCAGAGCGCCTGGTAGGCATCTTCCAGCCAAATCTCCTGCCATACTCGGAGCTCCAATTCCTTCACCCATTCCTCCAGGGGCTGCTCTCCCAGGAAGGGCATCCTCAGGGCCACTTGCTTCTGCAACCGCTGCTCTTCACTGGGGAGACTCTCACCCCGCTGGTATTGTACATTATCCAGGGCCTGGTACCAGATGCTTTTCCTTAATGCATCCAGGTCCTCCTCCTCGTATAACACTGCTGGTTCCATTCTGTTGCTTTTAGGGTCGCTGTACTGGGACATGTGTTGCCCCCACTTGTAAATCCAAAGAAATGGTGTCTCCTGTAGCTGTCCTTCTAGCTGTAGGAACGATCCCGCTGCTTGCCACCAATTGTAATGGACCGTTTTGCACACAAGGGGTTAAAACCGTTTAGGCGATCGTCCCCTTTTCAGAGATGCAGGCACAGCTACTGCAGAACACCAAACTCCCGAACAGGATACCAAGTAGCACTCCAAATTCCCGAACTGGAACCTCACGAATAGCTGCTAGCAGCTGAACAGGAAAAGCACCCAAGCGGCTTACACTCCTGGCAATCATGCCTTACTGGGCGTGCGTGAGCTGCACTCATACCTGGCCACGCCTCCTCAGAGTCCTCCACAGTCCGACACTAGAATTTACAAACCTCATCACACACACATTTCCTCACCACATTAGATATCATAGTGTCATGGTTAAAATATATATAAATGTAAAGAGACAGACAAACTCATAAATATCAGTCTAGAGCTTTGTGCTCTCGTTTCCTCTCTCTTCTATATCTAGGGTGTAACAGTGTGTATGAAGGTTGGCTGGTGCCAGGGAAGGGGTTAACCGTGGATAGGGTGGTCGGCTAACAGGGGAGGGGTTAACCGCAGAGGAGGTAGGCTGGCAGGGGACAGGATAAGAGGGGTTAGGGAGGTTAGCTGGCAATGAAGGGATTAAGGATGGATTAACAATAGGTAGGGAGGTTGGCTGGTGGCAGGGAAGGGGTTAACCGTGGATAGGGTGGTTCGCTGACAAGGAAGGGGTTAACAGTGGGTATGGAGGTTGGCTGGCAGGGGACAGGATAAGAGGGGGTAGGGAAGTTAGCTGGCAATGAAGGGATTAAGGATGGATTAACAGTAGGTAAGGAGGTTGGCTGACAGGGGCTCGAGGAGACTGTATTACTTGCATTACTAGCTGTGTCTCTGCAGTGCAGTTTGTGCTGTGAGCATTCTTTACACTGGATAAGACATGCCTCTATTTTCATTGGCTGCAAAAGGTATGTTTCTTTCAGAGACTGGGAATTAGGAACATGTTGAAATGTGAGAGGGGTGTGGCTAAGGAGGCTGGGTTACACTGCTCTAATGAGCAAAACATTTTACAGCACTGGCGGAAACCTACACAGAACTGAAAGAAAAGAAACAAACTAAAGGAATTTTATTAGCTTTGATTTAACTTGTTTAGCTGCCTGGAGTGTCCCTTGAAGTATGGTATTACAGGAGTGTAGCTGTCACAGCCATGTATCCATTTTGACAGTATCGATGCAAAACAGGCTGTAAATCTGGGTTAGTCCATTACATTTAGCAGCTTGTTAAAAACCATCCTCCTCTATCTTCACTGAATACATTTTCCACAGTTCTGTATTCCCTATTCTCCCTCGAGCATCCACTAAGCCAGCTTCCTGCATAAAACCAATAGTAATAAAGCGTTGATTATCTTCTCTTCCACTCTCTTTAGACTTTTGTGGGCCGTTTCCGGCGTATTATGGACTCCTCACAAAATGCTTACAACGAGGATACTTCTGGCTTGGTGTCACGGTTGGATGAATTGGAACGAGGCTTATTCCGAGATGGCCAGAAAGGGCTGAATGCATTTCAGAGTTGGGAAAGGGGAAGAGCTGCCCAGATTACAGCCTCAGGTCTGGTGCAGAGCTACCGAAAGAGGAAGTTTAATGAGACAGAGACCTAATGCAGTGGATGTCGTTTATCGGACGGCCGTGCCCAGTGTTCAGCCTGCAAGGTTGTTCACACGGAGAATCAATACGTGACTTCCAGGCTGCTCTCCTCCCTGGCAGCTTGAATTCATTAAATTGCTTTGTTTTTAAATAACATATTCTTACCTATAGCAAAGATCCAATGGTTCTTTGTCAATGGGGTATGCACTTACCTAATTAAATTGCCTACAATAGCCTGCAGCACAATTCTGGCCTTGTATTATACCTGCTGCAATAATGCCTGCATTAAAGGCACACTTCAGGTACCATGAAAACTCTCAATAATGTAGTTATGGTGCCTTGAGTACCCTGGCACAGTTTTACCTTAAAGTGTTTATGAACATGAGCTGAGAGAATCAGCTGCTAAGTCTATCACTGCCACCCATTGCGATAAAGGATAGAAATGTACGTATATTTGCTTGTGTTTGTATCAGCTGACACTCAGCCAATCACTAACTCTTCCTCATTCACCAGCATCTGGGGACATATGTCATGTAAGACCGTTTGCAAACGCTCTAATACTCCACAGTGAAACACTGCTGGCAACGTCCAGGCACCTTTACATCTTCATTGAAGTGTGCTAATTTACAATAAAACCTGAATTTCCTGAGTTCGGGTTGATAATGAAAAGCAGAGTGAGCGTAATTGCATGCCTTTTGGGCTGGACATTCTGGGATTCCATTTATTCGTTGCATGCCTCTGGGGCTGGACATTCTGGGATTCCATTTACTCATTGCATGCCTCTGGGGCTGAACATTCTGGGATTCCATTTACTCGTTGCATGTCTCTGGGGCTGGACATTCTGGGATTCCATTTACTCGTTGCATTTCTCTGGGGCTGGACATCCTGGGATTCCATTTACTGGTGGCCTGTCTCTGGGGTGGACATCCTGGGATTCCATTTACTGGTGGCATGTCTCTGGGGCTGGACGTCCTGGGATTCCGTTTGCTGGTGGCATGTCTCTGGGGCTGGACGTCCTGGGATTCCGTTTGCTGGTGGCATGTCTCTGGGGATGGACGTCCTGGGATTCCGTTTGCTGGTAGCATGTCTCTGGGGATGGACGTCCTGGGATTCCGTTTGCTGGTGGCATGTTTCTGGGGATGGACGTCCTGGAATTCCGTTTGCTGGTGGCATGTCTCTGGGGATGGACGTCCTGGGATTCCGTTTGCTGGTGGCATGTCTCTGGGGATGGACGTCCTGGGATTCCGTTTGCTGGTGGCATGTCTCCGGGGATGGACGTCCTGGGATTCCGTTTGCTGGTGGCATGTCTCTGGGGATGGACGTCCTGGGATTCCGTTTGCTGGTGGCATGTCTCTGGGGATGGACGTCCTGGGATTCCGTTTGCTGGTGGCATGTCTCTGGGGATGGACGTCCTGGGATTCCGTTTGCTTTGGATCTCATCTCCCATGATTGTCTAACCATTATTTAACTGTTTTAACTAGTTGAGTGTCTAAGTATATATTCAAAGTATTCATTTTGTACATCATACAGAATAATTAACCACTTCAAGGTGTTGTTTTTATTTTTTTTAAACATGCCTTAAAGTTTCTGTATTTACAAAAAAAGTTAATTGTCTTTCTTCTTCCTCTTCTATTGAGATACGTTGCTTTAAATGTTTCACATCTCTAGTTTAGAGTGTAGCGAAGCACAAGCCTGACCATAACACACTGGTGGAACACGCTGAGCCTCACTAGAACATATTTTAAGGTTACTTTTAATCAGTTTATTTAAGAAGAATAAATACTAAATTATATCACTCAAAATCTGTGATTTGTTCTATTTTATTTTCAGTGCTCACTCAGCATGTGTGTCCTCCAAAATGGAAAAACTGGGGTTCTGTCATGGCTACAATACCTGTCCACCGCTAATGCAAGAACAACACATCTCTCGAACCTCACAGCAGCAATAGACTGACCCCGGTGAGAGATTCTCTCAGAAATCTCATTGTGGCTGAGGAAGGTACTTGAGAAAGCTTTGTTTATTTATTACCACTAGGCAACTAAATTTATAGTGGCATAAATACTGAGCTGAAATTATAAAATTAACTGCAGTGATTATGGTGCTTGGATTGTCACATTCACTCCAGTTACAGTACCCCGGATATAGCTGAAATAGTGTCACTCTATATACAGTCTGTACCACGGATATGATAAAAAACCAAGGCAAATATAATCACTAAAGTGGAAATGTGATAGTAAAAACTAAGTGTTCCCAGGTGTACCTCACAAGGCACCTAATTATACAATGAAACCAAAAGTGAGGAAAACCTAGTATACGTATAAAATACACTGCTCAAAAAAACAAAGGGAACACTTAAACAATAAAATGTAACTCCAAGTCAATCACACTTCTGTGAAATCAAACTGTCCACTTAGGAAGCAACACTGAGTGACAATTTCACATGCTTTTATGCAAATGGGATAGACAACAGGTGGAAATTATAGGCAATTAGCAAGACACCCCCGATAAAGGAGTGGTTCTGCAGGTGGTGACCATAGACCACTTTTCAGTTCCTATGCTTCCTGGCTGATGTTTTGGTCACTTTTGAATGCTGGCAGTGCTTTCACTCTAGTGGTAGCATGAGACGGAGTCTACAACCCACACAAGTGGCTCAGGTAGTGCAGCTCATCCAGGATGGCACATCAATGCGAGCTGTGGCAAGAAGGTTTGTTGTGTCTGTCAGCGTAGTGTCCAGAGCATGGAGGTGCTACCAGGAGACAGGCCAGTAGATCATGAGATGTGGAGGAGGGCAACAACCCAGCAGCAGGACCGCTACCTCTGCCTTTGTGCAAGGAGGAGCACTGCCAGAGCCCTGCAAAATGACCTCCAGCAGGCCACAAATGTGCATGTGTCTGCTCAAACGGTCAGAAACCGACCCCATGAGGGTGGTATGACGGCCCGACGTCCACAGGTGGGGGTTGTGCTTACAGCCCAACACGATGCAGGACGTTTGGCATTTGCCAGAGAACACCAAGATTGGCAAATTCGCCACTGGTGCCCTATGCTCTTCACAGATGAAAGCAGGTTCACACTTAGCACGTGACAGACGTGACAGAGTCTGGAGAATCCGTGGAGAACGTTCTTCTGCCTGCAACATCCTCCAGCATGACTGGTTTGGCAGTGGGTCAGTAATGGTGTGGGGTGGCATTTCTTTGTGGGGCCGCACAGCCCTCCATGTGCTCACCAGAGGTAGCCTGACTGCCATTAGGTACCAAGATGAGATCCTCAGACCCATTGTGAGACCATATGCTGGTGCGGTTGGCCCTGGGTTCCTCCTAATGCAAGACAATGCTAGACCTCATGTGGCTGGAGTGTGTCAGCAGTTCGTGGAAGACGAAGGCATTGATGCAATGGACTGGCCCGCCTGTTCCCCAGACCTCAATCAAATTGAGCACATCTGGGACATCATGCCTCGCTCCATCCACCGCCGTCACATTGCACCACAGACTGTCCAGGAGTTGGCAGATGCTTTAGTCCAGGTCTGGGAGGAGATCCCTCAGGAGACCATCGGCCACCTCATCAGGAGCATGCACAGGCATTGTAGGGAGGTCATACATGCATGTGGAGGCCACACACACTACTGAGCCTCATTTTGACTTGTTTTAAGGACATTAAATCAAAGTTGGATCAGCCTGTAGTGTGTTTTTCCACTTTAATTTTGAGTGTGACTCCAAATCCAGACCTCCATGGGTTGAAAAATTTGATTTCCATTTTTTTATTTTTTAGTGATTTTGTTGTCAGCACATTCAACTATGTAAAGAACAAAGTGTAACGGCACCCCCAGGCATAAAAGGGGTTGAAGCCGTTTAGTAGATATCCCCCTTCCAGAAATACAGGCAGCTACTGTAGACACCAATCCACCGAACCGGAGAAGCATACGAATGCTCTCAAACATGAATGCTGTAAACAGCCAAATAGGAAAAACCATAGGAATAGGTTTACACTCCTAGCAGTTGAACTGAAACCGCATACAACAAGTCCCCCCAAGAACAAGACAAAGCTCCGTTTTGAGGGTCAAGCAGGAACAGACAAAGCTGTAGGTTTATTGTTCTTATATACACATTCTTACACATTAGTACCACCCACAGGGTTTTGGAAAACAACCAATAAACACGTACAATACACTCAGACACTCCCACACAAAATTCTCCCCTCTGCCTGTGATACAATTATCTTACACAATGGGTAATGTAATTATCACAGGCAGAGTAATACAGTTTTTCCACATTATTCATAATTTTAAAAGTATGCATCACATTCACACAAACTTACATTTTCAGAATCAGCATACTCCAAATACAAACAAATGTCAAAATCATACAAATTGGTCCAGTGGTTTAAAAGATAGATCGTAGTCCTTTGTGACCAAAGGAAGTATGTCTTTTCTGCCCAAAACCAGTTCCACAGCGTCTTCTATCCTGGAGATAATTGGGAAGTAATCCAATTATCTCCAAGGACAGAGGCAAAACTCCATTAAACACATGGCAGCAAAAGACAATAAAATACATAAAAATATATAACTGTGCAGCCATTGCATAAAACAGGTACATTCAACATATCCCCAGATAGCTCAGATCTGAGCGCACATTATTACTGAATGGCGCTCAGAGCACACACATACAGTTCAATTGCCATGGAGCCAAAGTCTTTCCCATAGTCTTTCATTATACGAATGGGCTCCATGGCATAGCTATCTGGGGTATCACTGCTCAAACAGGGCAAGCACCAAATGACCCGGCTTTCGTGTCTTTGCAGGGGAAAATCAAGTGTTTCAACATGGGGCTATAATCTAAAGGCAGCAGGCAGGCAACCAGGCTTCTCCAATGTACAGTGGTGAGACTGGTCTCGTCACACAAAGTATTTCAGAAGAATATTTAATTCATTCAGATCTAGGATGTTATTTTTTTGTGTTCCCTTTATTTTTTTGAGCAGTGTATATGTAAACCACCTGGAAAAGCTGGCCAGGATCAGTAGATCAATAGACGATCAATAATAATGATGAACAAAACACAGCGTAATATAGTTTAAACAAAATAATAAATATGGTGTAAGTAGAAAACTCACAAACATATGATGGTTTCAGGCTTTTCACCCCACCCGGGGTATAATGGATCAGGCTTCTGGCTGTGGAGAGGACGTGTCTTTGCGTCCCACAGTGGAACGCACGCCGTCAACTGGAAGTGATTTACCGATCAATTTGGCTTTATAAAAGGTTCCTCATCACCAGAAGCTATAAGAGAGCCCTGAAGAAGTCCTTTTCGTTGGACGAAACGCGTTGGATCCAAGCTTATTGTGGACTTTTATTTGTCTTTTATATTCTTGTATTTTTATTTGTTTTTACTACCTTATGCTGCTGCCTGGCATTTTTCTCCAGTCATCTACCTGCTGCTGCATTCCCTTTTGAATGGAGATATGCTTTAACTCATCCTAAGTTTGTAAGTGGAAGAGAGAATAAGAAATGGAAGCTAAAGGGATACACTCATGGGGTGGGGGTTAACCCATCATAAACTACCAAAGTAGTAAAAAGAAAAAAAACGGAGAAAAGGCTGAGTGCCCTAATGAGCTAAAATATAACTTTAATGGTAAAGTTTAAAAATAGAAACGTAGGTGCTCATGGGGAAGTGAATACGCAAAATGGTGAGCATATAAATATAATAGGCTGTACAATTATAGATACTATGTACATAAATGATAAACATAAGAAAGAAAATAAATATAATAGGCTGTACAAATTTATATAATTATGTACATAAACGAAAAACCTAAATCATAGAGCTGCCTACTAGGTTAGAGACCTAAATGCTGAGCTGTTACCTATGCACTGAGCACTGAGAGAAAGACTGGTAACGACAAGTGTAGCTATCCTGCCATAAAATGGCATCTCCAGATATAGGAGATGTGACACTACATCTAGTAATAAGAGCAATGAGGACCTGTTCAAAAGTTTTCAGTGTCCTCTGCTAGGTGTTAACTGCAAAGAACAATGTTGCAGTTTTCCTAAATGGCACTACTTTTGTGAATAAAAATGGTATCTGAGCTGTAATTACTCTATCTTAAATAGAACTTCCAGTGCTCGATCCCACATCAATAATGCTGGTTATCAAATGAAACCAAGCGAAAAAATGATGTGTGTAGAATGTGCAGAGAAAATATGTTTGCACAAACGGTAGTCTACATAAATAGTGTTGTGCCCAGATGAGTGCAACACTAGTAATGTGTATAATTAATGCAGAATGTGAGAAATAACTGCACTAAGTAGAATATAAGCCTAGTTTATTAACTGTATAAAATGCCGATGTGGCCGTTACTTGAAATATTGCCCAGGTGCCTACTTCGTCTGACAATAAAACACTCTACCTGTTATATACACTTGGAAACAATTATGAATGGGCTATGGGCTGCAAATATTGTCAAGTTAAATCACTGACAGGTCTGATATCGTGACTACCTTTAACTGATAAAGAGAGAGATCAAGCAACCTTTGCCCACCCAGAAAATAACAGGAAAAGAACTCGGGATTCAGAGGGTTGTGTGGTGTCCACAGGTCAAACACACACCAAAGCTGTTACAACAAATCACCGAAGGCCCCTGACGCGCGCGTTTCGCCCACAACTCATCAGGAGAGTTTGAAAAACCGGCTATTATCAATTAGCCAATCCCGACGTGGCTTAAAAGTGACGTATCCAGGTGGTATACGTAAGCTCAGAATGGTAAGGATTATTTAACCCCTTCTGGTCTTATTTACAAGAACATCATGTTTTTTTTGTTAAAGAAATTATTTAACCTCTCCTAGTCTGGCTTGACCTAACATCAAATTATTTAGGAATTGTTTAACCTCTTACAATTTAATTATACAATGCGTCAGATGAAATTAACAAAGTTGCACTGTATTAATGCAGAATTAAAACGGAAACTAAGAGTCAACAATGTAACAAAGAGAATCAGCAGTT